ATTCATTTCAGTCTCTACACTTATCATTAATATAAAACTATAAAATGTTTATATCATACGATGGATAAAAAAATTCAATAGAACGAAATACCTCTGAAGCAAGCAATTTTATATTAAAATCATAAAAAAAAGTTAGAACAATTCTAGAAAATAACAATTATGAAATAACCTAACATTTCAAGAACATCGAAACGTTTAGTTACTTCTACATTTTATACGTACATTGGTAAAATCGAATATCTTTAAATTTAAATTTAAATAAAAATAAACCGACGTTTTTAGTAAAAATTTCACAATGTTAGGTTAAAATATGTTGGTAGACTCTTACCATAAAAAAATAATTCACGATTTACTGTTCTCACGACAATTGAAACTGGTTTTTACAAGAAGCACTCGAGCATTATTTGATGTAACAACATTAAGTGTCGTTTAATACAACGACTCTAACGACTATTAAATAAAACTTCGTAATTAGACTCAACCAACTGTAATCAAGTTCTCCAGTTCATTTCCTGCACCGAATAGCAGAGCACCTGCCACTTCAAAGTTTCGCTCGTTTCCGAAATTCTCAGCCAATAGGGATTACTTAATGTGGCTCATCGGCGCAACTTGATTGGCTAATTTAAAACGAAAACGTTCGAATCGATTCGACTCAGCCAAACTCGATTCGATTCAATCCAATTCGATCAAATTCAGTTTCAGTCCCGACTATATAATTTTGGCGGGATAAAATCATCAAACTCCAAATACAAAATGTTCGTATAAAGAAAACAGTTATCGAAATAAATAAATGACAATAAACTGTTCGATCAGATCACTTACTTTTCGCATTGTTCCCCATTATGGGCTCCTTCGCAAGCACCAACGTGATATTCTTGCTCTCGAAAAAAGGCCTGACACGTTCACAATCGGTGGACACGAAATCGGTATCGTTTCGCGGATACTGGGCGAAACGCGGCGACCGAGACAGCACAAGATCGGTACAACCGCATAACAATATCACGATCGACACAGGTGCCAGAATCGCACGATGATACCTCTGAATTACTTTCATTTTGGCAAGAAATAGATGAATTGGCGGGACGAATCGGTGACAAGGAGCGAGGAAAGCGAAAGAAATAGAAACTGAGCGGAAGCTATACAGTGGTATAAAAGGGCTGGTGGTGAGTTCCGTAAATCGTGCTCAAGAGCGTGAAAAGGAGAGAGAAAAAGGGACACCGAGGTACGAGCAGCGAGACGATTTAATTCCTCCTTCTCCTTCTTCTTCGTCTTCTTCTTCGTCGTCGTCGTCGTCGTCGTCCTTGTCCTCGTCCTCGTTGTCGTCCTCGTTGTCGTCGTCGTTGTCGTCCTCGTTGTCGTCGTCGTTGTCGTTGTCGTCGTCGTCGTCGTCTTCGTCGTCTTCGTCGTCGCGTATTCGGTACGATGCAATCGTTCGAAGAGTCATCAACCGCGAAACGAGACGCGACGGCTTCCCCTTTCTTTTTGGTTCTTCGAAAAGACCGCGCTGTCAAACGGCACAGCAACAGCCACGGATGTTACTGCGAGATTTCGAGAAGCGCGAGACGTGCATTTGGCGTGATCGCGCGATGGACGGACAGACGAGACGACGGCTGTAATAATCACGACATACACTGCCCAGACCGCGCAACGTGTTACGATCCGCACACATACACACGCGATCACTCCGGATACACCACAATAATAAGCACACACATGCACGCACGTTTAATCGCACGCAAGCATGCATGCATGCACTACGCGACACGCGTTCCACGAGTAGCTCGATGTGACTGAAGTGCCCGTGAGCCGAGAGCGGCAACGCGTATTCACAATTCGACCGACCGGCACTCTCCCCACTACATTCCCTCCGATTCTCGCTCGCTACCCTCTACAACTCTACATTTCCCCCCCACTTTTCAATCCACACCGAACTACATGCCCACCTACTTGCTTACTTACCTACCCAAACGCCGTTCCTAATACCTTTCGAAGACGTTACGTGCCGCCACCAATCATTATCTTATTTCTTTTTCTCCATTCTTATTCCCATCAATCGGTTTGCAAAATAAATTAATGATGTGCGTTATGACGTTGAAATTGAAAAAGATCATGAACATATAAAGTACAATTTATGTTGATGAAGTACAAAGAAGTACAGTTACTTATAATTAGACTACGGATTTTTATGCATTTGTAAGGAATTTGCAAATATCCAAAGTGCGATACTCTGTGTGATAATTAATAGAGAGAATTCTTTATCTAGTTTCTAAATCTTTTCTAAATTTTATTTGTAAAAATGTGAATTTGAATTTAAATCTGCAGTATACTCATAATATACATAAGTGAAAACGTATAAAAATACTTTTTTGAAGTACTGAAATACTAAAATATAAAAAATAACAATGTACATTGAATCCGTATGAAAACAAAGTATTTAAATAAACGTAATTTGTGTTCTCGTCTGATTCACTTGCCACACATTCAATGCTTCATATTCTTCGATACAGTCGTTAATTTGATCGGGTTTAAATCCTTTGCTTGTACACCGTTCCAATATGTCCGATACTTTAACAGTTTTTTTATCACTTGCCAGTTCTCTAATAAGATGGAAAATTCGATTCATCGGGTTTTGCTGGACATTCGTTGCTAATGTCTCAGAATAATTAATAGAATGCTTCGACATTTCTATCAATCTATTTGCCTCAACAACATCTGCCTTTTCGACAACATTTGATAATCTTAAACGTGCCAGTGCAGTCGACAAACGTAATAGAGCCAACAAATTACGTGCAGACGTAAAAGTTTTATCCTGGCTATTGCGAGCTGCTTTTCTCATTTCCACGTAGGATTCTGGAAATGGTAATAATTGTACGAAAATATAACTATATACTTAACGATAAATTTACACAATACAGAAATATAATCAATAAAATTTTTACCAACGATATAATCAGTTAATTCTTCTGGAATAACAGGCTGTTTTGTTTTACACAAAGTGATATACTTTCTAATCAAGTTCATATCCAAAGCCTGCGTTTCCGTCGGTGGTTGTATACAATGTTGATGAACATAAGTTATGTGTTGAGCCATTCTAAAAAAATATTAATTGAATTATTATATATTCTTTAATACATAAATAAAAGAATACATTAATATAAATACTAACTTTAAATCATTGCTACGATCTGCTCGATCCTGAATTAACCATAATAAATCAAACCGTGATAATAAAGCAGCAGGTAACTGAACATTTTGTTCGATTGTTCTTTTCGGATTATATCTACCATAAGCAGGATTTGCCGCAGCTAATATTGAGACTCTCGCGTTCAAACGAGTTGTAATTCCTGCTTTGGCAATCGATATAGTTTGTTGCTCCATCACCTCGTGAATAGCAGTCCGATCAGCATCTGCCATCTTGTCAAATTCGTCAATACAACAAACTCCTTCATCAGCTAGTACCAAAGCTCCTCCTTCGAGCATCATTTGACCAGTTAAAGTATCTTTCATAACCGAAGCAGTTAAACCTACTCCAGAAGATCCTCTACCGGTTGTATATTGAGATCGGGGAGCTAATCTCGTTATAAACGAAAGTAACTGAGATTTGGCAACTCCAGGATCACCCATTAAACAAATATTAATATTACCTACAAATAACAAATGCAATGAGCTAGAAAGAAAAAAATATGTATAATTAATACTTATAAATATAAAACAAACCTCTAATTTTAATATCCTCTCTGTGTTTGTCTGTACCACCAACTAGCAGTAATAACAGTGCTTTTTTAACATCCTCAAGCCCATAAATTTCTGGAGCGATAGAACGAGCCAATTTACCATAAAAATCATCCTCTACTAACAATGATAATTCTTCGTCCGTTAAAAGCGCATTGCTGTCATCAGCGGTTTGAGAATTAGTGAGACAAACAATTCTCTGTACCATAAAAAATACATACATATTATTTATAATTTATATTAAAGAATATATCATTATAAAAATAATGAAATCCATACATGTGCGTCTATATATGTTTCATTTAGAAGAGCTGCACCCACTCGAACACTAAAACCAGATTTTATAATAGGTAAAAAAATACCGGTAATTAGTACGTGATCTCCAGGTAAACATTTTCTTGTTGTTTCACCTCTACAATATATTGTCAATGTTCTTGGAATATGACCCACAGGAACTTGATCACTCTTAAAATTATAAAATTATAATTATTACTAGCAAAAAATTACTATAATAAATAGATATTTATGAATGCAAAAAACTTATATTTATATAAAATATACTTACATGTTCTTGTATTTTTAGTTCTTGAAATTTTACAAATTTTGATCCTCTTGTTTGCATATCTAGCACACCACCAGATTTATTTATACGACAATCATCACTGGGACATTGTCTCAATGGCATATATTTGAGAGATTGAACCTAAAAATTTCAATTTTATTAAATTCTTAATTCGTCCTGTAATATAAAAATATCATTAACTTCTTACTGGTTGGAATGTTTCAGCACCACACTGATCGCATGTGTATGTAGCAACAACAAGTAAAGGCATTACATCACTACATCTTGTTACTATACCTCTCACTGTAACTAATTTTCCTATTTTGTCAGCTTTTATATCTCTCACAGAGTACACTTTTGCTATCTCAAAATCCTTGAAATACACTTCACTAAAATTTCCATAAAATTTGTTTGTATTATGTAATTATATACTTGCATAAAGAGATAAAAGTTAATATTAAAAAATCATATACAAGCGTCTCATAAGTTCTGGAGCATATTTATTTCTTGGATCACGTTGTTCCCCAAGATGTCTGTTACGACTTTCCATTAATAATCTATGTTCAATATATACATCTAAAGCATCTTTAGGTGGTACAGGTTTTTCTTTAAAATCGGGTAACATCTCTTGAATAAGCTATATTAATGTAAATATATTTTTATAATCCAATATATAAAAAATAAAATCTTATAATAATAAAGTCTTCAATCTTATAATAAAAAATGAATATATTAACATATTCATAGTCTGTTAATGGATGTGTACATGTGGTCAGATTACAGTGATCGTCAAAAAACAAATGACGAGTATTCAAAGAAGAAAAAATGAAGAAAAACTTTAATATAATATATATCACATATTTGCATATAAAAAAGAAAAATGAACATATTAATATACCAGATTACACACATATTGTAAACTTACCTCCAAAAGTACATTGACGTATCTTCTAGTATTGTTTGCAATGGATATTGCTAATTCATCATCAAAGTCATGTATATCATCTAACTCTATTACTAAATCTACTTGTTCACGATGAGCAATATTAGTGAGTTGTTTCCTGTACTTAAATGTTTTCTCACCAGTTTCACTATCCACTGCCACGAACTCCGTCAAGAAAGTTTTTAATTGTTCTAATACAATAAAAAAATTAACCGATACGTTAAATCTATTTAATTATTATGTTGTAGATTTTTAATGGTTAGTTTATAACATAAATACTCACCCCTAACTTTTGTATAATCCTTTGATATTTTAGGTGGCATTGTACTAAATTTATATTTTTCGTAATTATTTTAACTTAAATTTTACTTTTACGTGAATATCTTATATTTCGGTGTGTATCAGAACACGCAGTTCTCGAAGTAATCTTCCCGCCTAAACTAAACCGGATATATGCCAAATTTTAATTTAACCTTTCAATTTAATTTATCATTTAATTAAACATATAGTTTTTCACCTACATTTATTTATTGCAATTAGATATTTTAATATATATATTATTATATTAAAGACAATATGAACTTATAATTTAACAATAATAATAGTTTACGATTATGAAACTTTAATAAATAAAGAATTGAAACATCTGATATTTTTTAAATAGATAAAACTTTATAAAAATCGAAAAAAATAGCATTTAAAAACTATTATTAAAAGATATTTAAACATCTAAAAAAATGTTTCGATAGTGAATATACTTTACGTTCATGAGCATCCTAAATGCAGTATATAAATACTACATACACACTAGTTGCTCATGGTTGTCATTTTATATTTGAATTTCAATGTAAGGTTAGATGTGTATCACATGTTTCTTTTTGGCTTCATAAAATATTTTAAAATAATAAAATGGGTAAAGTAAAGAAAATAAAGTTTTCTAGGAGTGAAATGAAACAGCCAAAAATGGCTTTAAGTGATCAAATAGAAGAAGAAAAGATTGCGAAATCGAAAAACAGGCAAAAGAACAGAATTCGCAAGGAAGATGACGATAAGGTTATATTTGTATTTTTTAAGTTTTTGAGACATAAAAATGGAATGTAATGCTTTTGAAATTACTTTATATTTATACAACTTCGTATAATCATTTTAAATAATCACTTTAAAAAATTTAGATTGATTTTTGTTATATGATTTCATTTGTACAGTTTGTGGATCCTGTTCTTACAAAACGAATTTTATCTCAAGCCAGACAACAACAAATGGAAATTGAGGAAGAAAATGCAATTGGACGAACATCAGACTCTGTAAAGAAACCAGTAGTAAGACTTAGTACTGATCCTGAATTTAGTGACATAGAGGAATCATCGAGTGAAGATGAACATGATAACGTACAATATTATGAAAATATTGAAATAAATGAAGAAGACGAACGTGCTATACAAATGTTCATGTCTAAGGATCCTGTGCCTATGAAAACATTAGCTGACATAATATTAGAAAAGCTAACAGAAAAAAAAACAGAAATTGAAACTCAATTTTCAGATGTAGGCTCTATTCAAATGCAAGAATTAGATCCAAGAGTTAAAGCAATGTATGAAGGTGTTAGAGATGTATTAACAAAATATCGCAGTGGGAAATTACCTAAAGCATTTAAAATTGTTCCTAGTTTGAGAAATTGGGAACAAATATTATATATTACTGAACCAACAAAATGGTCAGCCGCAGCAATGTATCAAGCTACCAGAATATTTGCCTCAAATCTTAAAGAAAAAATGGCTCAAAGATTTTATAATTTGATACTATTACCAAGAATTAGAGATGACCTAGCAGAATATAAGAGACTCAATTTTCATTTATATCAAGCATTAAGGAAGGCGCTATTTAAACCTGCGGGTTTCATGAAAGGAATTTTACTTCCACTCTTAGAGTCTGGAACCTGTACATTAAGAGAAGCTGTTATTATTGGATCTGTAATTGCTAAAAATTCAATACCGATTTTACATTCTTCAGCAGCAATATTAAAAATTGCAGAAATGGATTATACTGGAGCTAATAGTATTTTCCTCAGGATATTTTTAGATAAAAAATATGCTCTTCCATATAGAGTTATTGATGCAGTAGTATTCCATTTTCTTAGGTAAAAATTAAAAATTTAAGACATCATTCTTTTAATGATGCTCTAGTTTTAATTTTTATTTCTAGATTTGAAAGAGATTCTAGAGAGCTACCAGTTTTATGGCATCAGGCATTATTAACTTTTGTACAACGTTATAAAACTGATATTAGTTCTGAACAGAAAGAAGCTCTGTTAAGATTATTAAAGAAACAATTTCATCATACAATTACAGCTGAAGTAAGAAGAGAATTGCAGCATGCTAAATGTAGAGACACAGAAATCACAGAACCTGCGTTAGAACCAATGATTTATTAGAGGTTTGTATTTCATTAACTTTGTAAATTGAAATATTAATAATCATAAAATAAAATTCATCTTTTTTCATCATATGTTTCAACTTATTTGTGACAGAGTTACCCATTAATGTATTGTTATTGTACATAACACGAATGAAACATGAATCTATACTCTGATGAAAATTTGATGATAATGAACCTAATAATTATACAATAAAAATATCAGCTGGTTTACCAATATTAAAGTATATTATGTTTAACCATATGTACTCAATATTAGGTAAATATAATCATTTTTGTTAACGAATGTGTTAACAATCTATAATCTTTTTATAAATAAAATGTATAATGTATAACTATTCATAAATTCAAACGTTTGTAAATAATTTAATAATAAATAATGCTTTCAAAATCGTCTTAACAAAGTTTAGTTGGGAAAAACTGAAACACCTTGACTTATAAGATAACATTTATGGTTTGAATTTATTGAAATATTTCGTTTCTTAAAATTCTATGTACTTTCTTAGTAACTACGAAATACATGCATTAAAAATTTTTGTGGTTTTATAGTTCAATTTTAAGCCGCATTGGCATTGGGCTCTGAATGAAAATAAAAATTGATAATTGTTTCATACTAATAATGTTTTAAATATATATACAATCTACTTAATTTTTCAATATTTTGCTTTTTTATTAAAAAGTACTGATTGATTACAATTATTTTGAGCAGTAAAAATATACCAAATAAATACAAACACTTTCAAATATTTAACTGTATATAAATATACAAAATATATACAAAAATATTGAACTTTCAGATGTTAAAATCAGATATTTATGTGGTTGTACTATTAGATTAGTTTTCAGAATTACATGTAGAAACATTTAATAATACAAATTGATGAGTATTGAATAACATTATATAATTGGATTTTTTAGTTATACAATATTAAATACCGATTTAAAAACTCAAATAAAAATCTTAATCATGATTCGTGAATTTTATCTAATGCTTTAAAAGTTATAAAATTAACGTACTATGAACAAAGTCGATACTTTTTCTTTTGTTGAAACCATTTTTTTTTAAATTTTAATGTTTTGCAATCTATTTTACATACATATATCTAAAATTATAAGTACTTAAATATTCTGTTTTTAAGTGTAGAGAAATTACAACAACTGTTTAAAATATCTTTAAAGGTATTTGTCTTGTCAAACCTAATTTTGAATAACAGTGCTAAAACTTGAATGTTACGTATTGCAATATTTAATATTTCAAAAGTTTTTATATAGTTAGACTTCTTTTAAATTACCTAAAACTTATTTTTTCTTAAAGAAGCTAGTAATGCTCTTAGACCCAGCTGCTGCTTTTTGTCTGGCTAATTCCTTTTTACTAACTGTAGCTTTCTGTAAATAGAAAAAAAAAAAAACATCATGGAAATCCACGTGATAAAAATATATTCACTTTATCATTGTTATATTTTATCACGTAGATAAAATTGAAATACATTAGAAGTTATTACCTTTTCTTTAATTGACTCGGGTGTTTTTGGTTTTAATACTGATTCTTTTTCAGGTGTCTCTTTTTTAGATTTCTTTTCTACAACAGTATCCTCTGGATTATTACTTAATTTTCGTTTTTTATTTTCTGTTTCATCTGGTAGGTTTAAATGTTGTGCTAATTTTTTTGATATATCTTCTTGAAGATATTCTGATACAATGCCATGTGCATATTTTAAATATTCTGAATGAAAAAAATATATTAAATATCTATATTTTTTAAATCTCAATAAAAATTATTGTTTCATACCTAAATATTTTAAAATAATTTAATATTCTATTTACTAAAATCTTTAATGCATGAGATTTATTTTATATTTTACCTATTTCTGAGACAGTTTCAAGCATAGTACTTTTAACATAAGTGGCACTGATAGCACCTTGTGATACATGAATACCCTTTTGTTTTAGTACTTCAACTACTCTTTCTACTTTCTTATGCAACCAGATCAATGCCTTTTCTTCATTAAATTTATAAGCTTGTAACGATTCATCTCCTTTACGTTCAGCAACTAGAGTTAATTTTAAATTCTGACACTGAGTAAGACGGGTCATCTCTGGAAAATCTTCATCCCAAAGGCATTGCTCTAATGGTTGTGCTTGTTGTGACTACGAGTATAATACTTTTTACTATTATTTGAAAATATTAAACTTATATATCTTACAAACTTATAACGAAGTCAATTAGTCCCTACTTTACTTCATGATAAATTAATAGTAAGTATAGTAATAAATAAAATACAATAATGCAAAATTACCTTTCTTAAATAAGGTAATATTAAAAATATTGGATCAATAGGAGTAGATAAATGTAACTTTCCATCAGATTTTACATTATCATCTATGAACCATGATCTTTTATTTTCATCAAATGTCAAAACTTCTTGTACCGTTACATTGCCCGGACTAAATACAAACATTGCAGGTTGATTTGTAGCTGGATGTCTTAATTTAATAACATCAGGTACATCATCATCTGTATTATTTAAATTATCACCTAGAAGATTGTTAAACAAATACAGCATAACTAGTAGAACAAGAAAAAAAATAAGAAATAAAAAAGTATTCAGGATTATTGACCAATTTAATCATCTTTAAACAATGCTGGTGCACGTCTAACGGCTAGTAAAAACTATAAAATACAGAGAGATTGAAGTGGGAAATAATTTTTATTTATTCACCTTTCATTAGAAAAACCCATGTGTTTGTGCCTGGATGTGAATTTGTTGTTTTGATACATTTTTTCGGCAATGATTTAGTACGCGGCATATTTACGCGCGTTTTACACAAATCGATATTATGTTAGGTTATTTATATCTTTTACACAATTTCCCCCTTATATTAATACACATACATTCAACAAATTCAGCGATCAGCCATTTTTCGTAGAGCCCTCAAATTGTAATGTTATATTATTTGAGAATTGAAATATATTATACATACTGTGTGCCACTTTTAATACACAAGCACGTTAAACGCAACATGCCGCCAATGTTGTAGGGAACAACATTTGAAATCTCGATGTGTAGTCGAACCATCAGTGAATGGTCGATGATCGGAACATTACCGGTGAAGAGGCGTTACCGCGCTAACGAACCATCTTTTAAAAAAGAAAGATATATGAAAATCGTGTTCTAATATGAAAGATTTAAACTGTACTATCTGATTTTTTCACAGATGCAGTACGTATTTAATTTCTATGTGTGTAATTTTGTATAAAACATTAACGTTTGCATATATTACGTGCGCAACATTAATTACAAATTACGTACGTAATTACGTATATACATAAAAAGAAATGTTCCAAAATATTATTTCTGTATATTGTAATTAAAAATTTAGTACAGCATAATTAAAAATTTACTTTATAAATGTAAATAATATACGTATTTATTACATTTAATGTACATATATAGAAATGTGACAACTATAAATATTCTTATTTTCATTATTTACATTTTTTTATAACAGTTATACCGTATAACTATATAACTTATGTAATTAAGACACATTCAAACTTGATTATCAATACTAATGTTAATTAAAAAACATTATATAAAAATAATAAATGCTATCGGTGTTTTTATTACATTCATGATCTAATTGGATATTTAAGTTCTATATAATGTATCAATATTGTATAGGAATAAAAAAAAAAAGAGTTTGATAATTCGAATGTATAACACTTAAGTTTTCTTAACAATTAAGATAAAAAAAAAATGTAATTTCGGACAAATGTAATTTATAACTTGATAGTGGATATTTCTTTATTAACAATTTTCTGTATAAACAAAAACGAAAGTTAACTTGTAGACAAAAGTAAACTTATTGAAATAATTTCAATCGCGTTACACATTTTTCTTTTTGTAACTTCCCATGGAAGTTAATCACGACGTACTATAATTTGAAAGATAAATAACCTCTCAAAAATTGTTATAAAAGAAATCGTTATGAAATTAATCTTAATGTAACTGTGATTGTTTCACAACTGTATTCGTACAAAGGAGATGCAACAATAATTTCAAATTCAAAAATTCACACATGGTAAAACGTACAGATAACATTGATATTCACAGATGACATTTCCAAATCTAACATTCGTAAAGGATGAGTAAATAAGTAAGTGTAAGTACATACGTTTATATAGTATGTATGCCTATGATATCATTGAAAGCATTGTAATCTTTTTTCTCTCTTACTTATTACTCACTCTCTAGTTGGTAAACACCTTGAAAGAACTGCGGATGACGCGATGCGAAAGTGGGTGTGCCCATCATTGGTTAGCCGGCTATCAAGTGAGAAGGTTTTCCTCGTTTTTGTTTCTCGAGCTATTGGTAAATTTTTTAAAATGCTGTTCTAAATACATTTTTACATATATTATATTAACGTAAAAGATAATATAGAATATGCATAAATTAACATAAAAAATATGAATTATATAGCAATATGCAATACATGTGATATATCCTTTCGTACTGATCAATTTATAAACAATTATTTTTCATTTATTCTAGGCAATCTCTTGCGCAGGTAAAAATGTCACAACAACAGTATTATCCTTTTAAAGTAAGTAATATTTTAATCATTGATTTGAAATTTAATAATATTTTTTATTTGACTGCTAATAAGATAATCTATTTCTGGCTATTGATCAGCTGTATTTTTATCACCATTTTACCTGAACAAATCAATCAGCATTGAACTTACGTATTATAAATGTCTATTTTTAAAGTTCATACTTTATTAGAAACTTAATACCTATGTTTTATTAGTAACTAAACTTAGCGCGAAATATCGGAGTATAGAAAATTAATTTTTTTTATTTTAATTTTCTAAATATTTTTTTCTTGAAATATTTTAAAAAAGTTTGCATACTTTCTTACGAAAACATATTTCTTAACATTCATAAACTTTTTTTTTTATTTTCTTATATCACAATACCAATTTGTTAATACCAATACAATAATAACTTAAGAAGAAAATAACTATTATAGAAGAATTATAAATATTTCAATTTATTTAAAATGATAATGAATATTGTTTTCTATTGCAGTGTACTCCTACAGTATACCCTGCTGAACCATTTGATGCAAATGCAGATGCTGCATTATTGCGCAAAGCAATGAAAGGTTTTGGTACTGATGAGAAAACTATTATTGATGTGCTTACAAGAAGAGGAATTGTTCAGAGACTAGAAATTGCTGAAGCATACAAGACCTTGTATGGAAAAGATTTGGTTAGCGATTTAAAAAGTGAACTAACAGGAAAATTGGAAGATGTTATAATTGCTCTCATGACTCCATTACCTCATTATTATGCTAAAGAACTACATGATGCAGTTAGTGGACTGGGAACTGATGAAGAAGCAATTGTTGAAATTTTATGTACTTTGAGTAATTATGGTATTCGTACTATTGCAACATTTTATGAGAACTGTAAGTTTAATAGAAGTAAGTTTAGTGTAAGTTTGTGTAAATTCATTGTAAAATGTAAAATTAATCTTAAAATATTTTGTTCTTGACAGTATATGGAAAATCTCTTGAAAGTGACTTAAAGGGAGATACTTCAGGACATTTTAAAAGACTGTTAGTTTCTCTTGTTCAAGCAAATAGAGATGAAAATCAGGGAATAGATCAAGCACAAGCTATAGCAGATGCTCAGGCACTTTATGAAGCTGGTAGTTATAATAATATAAAGTACTTTTAATAAAAAAAAGTACATATTAGTAGAATAAAATAAATATATAACTTATTTTGATATAACTTTGTATAACTTTATTTTGATATAAAAATTATTTAAAAATTACACGTAATGTTCGATAATAATACAATAGAAATTCTATGTAATATTAATATAAAATAATAAAAAAAATATATGATAATATATTTACTTGAAATATTATTTTTATTGCTGCAGGTGAGAAACAGTGGGGCACAGATGAATCACAGTTTAATGCTATTTTAATAACACGCAGCTATCAACAATTAAGACAGACTTTTATTGAATATGAAAAAATATCTGGTCACGACATTGAAGTTGCTATTAAAAAAGAGTTTTCTGGAAATCTTGAGAAAGGTCTTCTTGGAATAGGTAAATATTCTTTTTGATTACTTTATGAATTAATTATTTCATTTGAATGAAATGAAGCAAAAATTTTCTGGCAAATATTCCAAACAAACAAAATTTTCTTAATAAAAATGAGTCTAAGGAAGATCATCTTTCTTTTTCTAAGTAAAAAAATTTGCACTTGTATTCTTTTTATGCTTTAATTAAAAAATTTTATTTGATATAAAATTAATATAAATATTATAATTTTATGGAACAGTAAAATGCGTAAAATCAAAAGTTGGTTTCTTTGCTGAGCGATTGTATGCTAGTATGCATGGCATCGGTACAAAGGATCGAACATTAATTCGTATCATTGTTTCTCGAAGTGAAATTGATTTGGGTGATATTAAAAAAGCTTTTGAAGAACGTTATGGGAAATCATTGGAAAGCTGGATTGCCGTATGTATTCATATCACTCTTTTTTTCAATATTTTGTGATTTAGTATTTCCAACAAAATGAGTTGATTTAAAATTTTACATATATATAACCATATTGTAGAAGTAATCGTAACTCCTGAAATATTAGTTTCAATTAACTAGCACAGAAGATTAAATATTTTTAAATTTATTATCATTATATATCTTACTTAAGATGGATTAGTAGTGGTTACATCTATTGCTAGTTCTTCAATTAAAAATTTAATATTTTAATATGATTCAAAGTTAAAATTAAATATTACAATTAACTACTAATGTTTAAATTAATGACTAAAAATTTAATATTTTAGGGTGATACATCTGGAGATTACAAAAAGGCTTTGCTATCGCTTGTTTCTACTTAATTAAAGAGAAATGTTTTATATCAAATTTTAAAGTTCTAATATTTATGGCACAAATATGACGATTATCTTGCACACTTTCACTTAAAAGCTTGCAAATGCTTGCAACAATTTATTAATTAAATGTACGGGTATAAAGGATTGTGCATTTTACTATATTTTTTGCATACTTTGGAATCTCTGAAGAATCATTGTGGTGCTATATGCTTTTTATAATATAGTAAAATTTATTTTACGAAGTATACTATTTTATTAAATCATACAATCATATACTATTTTTTATTAAAAGTGTTTATATATATATATATTTTACATAAAAATCTAATATTTGTACAAATTGTTATAAAAAAGATCTTTATGAATATAAATATATTAAAATTTAATTATCTAATTATTATTTCATCATATATTTAATACCAATTAACATCCATATTTTAAGTTTTAAAATATAATATTGTAATTAATATAATTACAATTAAATGTTAATTAAATTAAATTAAATTAAGTTAATTAAATTAATTAAATGAACTATAACAAAATTTATTGAATTTGACTTTATAAATTTTGTTATAGTTCGTTATAAAATAATTATAAAATGATTATAAAAATTATTATAAAATATTACAATTAACTACTTTTAAATTTTTATTAATATTAATATTTAGGAAATTTTTTTATATTTATTTATTTGTAGAAAGAATTATTTTTATATACACGTAAAAAATAAAATTTATTTTTTATATATGTACACGTAAATTTCCAAGTATAAAAAATTTAGATTATGTTTAGATTATATAGAGGAATAAAACTAATAGAAAATAACTGATTTTTTTAAGTATTAATAAAATACAAATAAATATAGAAATATCTATCCATCTGTGTCCATACGAAGTATTGATTATTTCTTATTTCTTAAACTTCTACGTACAATCCCTAAAGAGAAAAGTTAATAATATTAAGTATCGTCATTTTTATGATTATAACTGTATAGTATGTAATTGTATAAAATTATACACCTGTATTACATTTTTTCTCATTGGAAAGCGTTTTATCATTCGATGGATAAAATAAAGTTGGCATTCTTTCAAAATATTTAAGCACTGGAGTTGGTAGGGTTTTATCTAATGGAATCCAACGAGGATTAGGTAAAGTGTAAAATACTCCACTATAAATTGAATGAATATCAAGAACATTTTTCCTGCAAATAAACGTTAAATTGTTACAAACAACAATAAAATAATAAAATTAAATAATATATTTTATAAATCACTTACCCTGGACCTTCTGCTAATTTAAAAAGAGCAGCGGATGCTCCATTTCTTATAGTACGTCTCATAATATAACGACCTGGAGATAAATTTGAGAGAGATTGAACAATGTTATGTAAAATTATCAAAGAATCTTCAACTTTTATGTTATAAAGTCTCTTAATTTCATTATTTATAGACATTGCTGTACGATGTTCTATTTGTAATACTTCCGATGTTTTTGCAGATATTCGAACTGAAATAAATATATACTACATTATATTTGGATTATAAGATATTTAGATGTATATATTTACTATCACAACATTGTTCATTACAAATAATTTACTTCGTGCTAGATATGTATGAGGTCTAAATATCAAAGATATCCATTGTTTCAAAGCTTCCTCTAATGTTACAGTTTCAGCACCAAGATCAGCCTGATGTTCTAATTTTGGTGTTAATAGTAACAATCTTTGTACTTTATTTTGTAAAATCTATAAAAATAAGGTAAATACTTAAAGAAACATTATTTTACTAATATTATCTGTTTTTTTAAACTAGTTTTTAAAAATATTTTAACAAGTTAAAAGAGTATTAAATATTACATAACACACCTCAAATCCATGCGTTTTTGTTCGGACTAATATTTTATATTCTTTAATAACATTTTCCATGAATTCATTTTGTTCTGGAAGTTGTGGTCCAATTGTAAACAAATCATATGATATACTATCTCCCGTCTCTTCAGAGATTTTATTTTGTATATCTATTAATTTATAGAATAGATTATTTTTAATGTTTTTACTATTTGTTTTTTAGCATTCAGAATTTAATATAATTATTAATATAACAATATTATCAAAGCTTTGTTAAAATATTTATTTATTAATATTTTTCATTAACTCGTAACTTTACCTTCATCATTTACGCAGTTGGAAGCATTACAAAAATTAGAGGTGGTAGTATTTAAAGATTCTTTTTTACAATTTAACACATCTGAAGAATGTACATCATTTGTAAGATTCTGTCGAGTTGAAATTTCTTCGAGGTTTTTATCCTCTTTTGACGCATTTGATACATTTAATATCTTATTCTTAATTTTTGTTAGAGTATTTTCATATTCTTCTTCTAATTGTAATAGTTTTTCAGAATTAACATCATCAAATATATTATCACCTTCATTACTATTATTATATAAGTTAAAAGTATCAGTTATAATGTTATTAACAATTAATCAAAAAGTACAACAGAATTTAAATAAAAATATATAAATAATCTTTTATCTTACCTTTCTGAAGTTAAATATTTAGTACCAATAAAAAAGTATTTAAGAATGTATTTATACACCCAAGTATTTTTTTCTGGTATAGTGCTTGCAATTGGTGGTGCTGGTTTGTCTATGTAGATAATATTTTTATCATTGTATTTTTTTATGACTATGGGTAAAATCCATGAATTTGAATGTGTTGGATCAATATTATTTACTAAACAATTAAGGCCACTTGATGAAATTACCAAATCTACATTATTATCTTCAGCCAATTTTTGACAATTTACATCTTCACTTACAGGTACAGAACAGACATTAACAGAATTTTCTTTAAAAGTATTCTTTTTAGGAAGAAATCGTTTTTGTAACTGTGCTGAATTTTTTCGTAATACACATGGTTTAATAAAAGTTGGCAACACTATTTTTTGTAATTTACCCTTAAAAATAAAAAATTTACGTATATATAATCAATAAGCCATAATAAGATATTTTTATTACTCACCAATTGTAAACAATTAGAAATAAATTTTACTTCAATGTTTTTATCTGTTACAAATGGAATAGTTGTTACTTCAGAGTAATACCTTGGTAATTTATACATATATTGTAACTTTGATTTCCAAGATAAATTGATAAAATCTTCACACGTGATTTTAAATAATCTTTTATTCCATTTGCTTTTTGCAAATTCCAAAAATTCATCTTGTTCTTGAGATATTATTTGTTGTAAATTCTATAATAATATACGTAATAATATATTTATGTATCGTAAACAATATCTTAAAACTGTATTTACATAGATAATTGTAGTTATACTTCTTTATTAACAAGATAGTAAGTATTTTTTAACGATTACCATGTATTTTTGTAATTCTTCTCTTTCTGTTTGCGTTAGTTTTGGCTTATCAGATTTTGAAAATCTTAACAAGACTCTCAAACACATTGCTTGTTGTTCCTTGTTCAATTTAGATTTCTTAGGAAACTTGAATATCGATTTAAAACTGCCAGGTACATAATGATTGATTTTTTTTACTTGTTTGACATTCTTTTCAAAGACGTTTGTTTCACATTCTTTTTCCATTTCATTTAAGTCAGGATCAACATCCTTCATCAGATCAATCTCAACATCTTTATAATCTTCTTCAATATTTTTAAAGGGATCTTTGAAATTCCCAGTCAAAATTTTATACGTCACACTTTCTTTTTCTAATCTTTCTTCACTAATGAAAGTATTATCTATCAAATCTTCCAATGGAGCATTCCTGTCAGATTTGACGCATAATATTAATTATTTTTAATCATTATAGTTAAGAAATTTATTTTATGTCAATTTCAATAATCAACGATCTTCTGTAATTACTTTAAACGATCAAAATTATTTTAAGAAATTCCAAGTATTTAAAAACAAAAAATTTCATTCAAATTTTTGTTCAAATTCTCAATTTGTATCTTTGAACAAAATACAAATAAAATGTTCGTTAGTTTATGTTAAATATATTGCACAGGTTCAAACATTTATAATATAATGTAACATCAAGATAATAATATAATATATTATATAATTTTAATATAAACATTTATAAATATTTTTTTAAACAAATTAGATTCCGTTAAAATAATTTTTTGTACATACCAATCAATAGATAAAAATCTATCCATGGCTAATAAATTAAAACAAACTGTCAAAGAACTCCATATATCCAAATTATCTTTTTAGATTTTTATACGTGTATGTTTCATAAATTAAATGAAATAAGCTGAGAGTATAATTACGACCATACAATTATAAAAATTTACTAATCCCTTTAATTACTTTTTTTTTTACAAACGAAAATTTGATCTATTTATGGATTTTGAAACACTAGCGCTAGGTCACAATAAAATGGTATAACTAGTTGTAAGTTTTTTTTAACGCACATTGTTTTATCTTTGTCTTTCAGGCAACGTATGTATGTTTGTCCTTGTCACATACTTGGTTTTGTCACCGGTTTTGTTATTACGAATCAAAAATGATCGAAGAATCCGATAGATAGCAGCACCTGACTTGTTCATAGACGAGGACAATAATATTCGACAAAGATAGATATATATAGGTTGCGTGACAAGAAATGCAAAAGTATGTGATAAGGACAATGATAACAACTAGTTCCACCATTTTCCGATTGCATGGTGATAATATTCAGTGTCCATAATTCGATTAAACTTTTATTTGCGAAAAAATCTAATTAAAGGGATTAAATTTGATAATTATATCTTGATGATTATGTCCTAAATTTCCTTCTTACATTCTATTACACATATATAGAAATTTGCAAGCTTTAAATCGAAGTACGTATTTATTCGAATATTATTTCTTCTCGTAAACTGTATTATGTTTAAAAAATCTTAAGAATATTATCATATTCTATTAAATTGTAATCACTCTGAAATATTAATATTTTTTGATGTTTTTTATTTTGTAATTATCGTATCAGCACAGACAAGGTACACGAGTATTTAAACGTAGAGCGCGCTGAGAAACCAACGATTTTTCGCTATGTTGGTATTTCAGAGCATGGGACACTAATTGTAAATCTCATAAGATATAATATGGGACATATATTTCATATATATATATATATGGGTATTTATATGCCTCTTTTGTGGTAAGAGTTTATATCTCGTCTGGGAAAGTCGCAATACGAAAATATCATGTATTAATCTTATCCTTTCTTTTCCAAGTATAAAGAAACGGACATGAGATTTAAGATCATTCATTTTGTAATTCTTTTTATAGTTTCTTTGATCACCTACATTGTTTACTATTTTCTTGTCACATATGCGATTTTATTGATGCAATCTATAATATTATAATCACAAACGAGGTATAAAATTTATATTTTGTCTGTGATTCAAGCTACTATCATTGCTAATATTTTTCATTTATATATAAAAATATACAAATTCTTATTACGTGTAAATTCATTATTGATGAATTTTCATGCTGTAATATTACTGTAAAACAAATTAAAAAAAAGAAGATCGAAATTAGAAATAAAACAAATATATCTTCCAAGTCAGTGTACAATGGCAATTCTTATATATGTGACTCTATTGTTTCAAATATTACTTAAATTTAATTATTTAGATCAGAAGAATTCATATAACAGTCATAGTAAATTCGTAAACAAACATATATACATAATATAAATATTTATTACGACATAATGTTCATTTTAATAAACAATACATGTACACATTATTCACTTAATCAGATATTTTGATTTTATATAATTTACTTATCATACCACTAGTAAATGTTACGTTTTCTAATAGTTGTAGCAATTATCTTTTTCATTATTCATATTGTTCCAGTACAACTATTTCGAATTTCGAAACATGTTCTACAAGTAAAATTTTACAACCTAACCTTACTTAGATTTAATACGAACCTAACCTATTTAATATAAGATACTTTCCACGTGTACCACAATGTGGCGCTGTAATACATTTTCTTATTTCACATATTTAACTATTGTATAGTATGATTTTAAATAAAATAATTAAAATGTAATAAAAAAGAATTAACAATTTTACATGGAACGATACCTTTAATCGTAGAAATATATCCGAATCAATGTCAAAAACAGTTTGTAATAGTGATAAAATTGTATTAGGAATGGCGCCAAGGTGTCGCCATTTTCATAAAACTTTACCAAGACGGTAAATCGAGAAGGCTGAGGGGAGGAACAATTCCTCGAAGTGAGTGTGTGCATCCGAAAATTGTTGGAAAAATTGCTAAAAAGCAAGAATAATGTACTGGTCGTAAGTATATCTTTCTTCAATGCTATTTTCAATCGACTTGAATCATTTTTTGGCACAAAACACGGGGCCTATGGCATGGGACTTCCGTTTAATGAACAGGAACAGGAAGTTCCTCACAATCTGAAATGGCAAAATAAAAACATCCTGTACTGAAGAAAATTTTGAAAAATATACACACTACGTTTCCGAACAAGTAGGCAAAAATAAATAAATCGTGTTAATTCTACCGAATTGAACTTCAAATTTTAATTTTACGACCTACTTTCAATCCCGGTACCTCAAGGTCGAACAACACTGACGAATTACTGAATGAAAAATGGAATGGTCACAACTAGCCCTTTTTATTTTTAAAGTTCCAATGATATCAATTGTTATGGATCGTTTGATTTTAGTGTGCATCAGAAAGAAGGGGATTAAGTTGAATATACAAAAATGCAAGCTGAAAGTATTTGCACGAATGATATTGAGGGTCTGGACTCAGACACCCTTATTCCTGTATGTATAATTTCATATAAATCTGTTTCATATAGTCATCATTTAGGCATATTGTTTTATCTATAAATATTTCATAGGTTGAAATTCTTTCCTGTGATGTATCTCATCGAGCACGCTCACAAGATGCCTTATCAATAATGGAATTAGGAAGACAATTACTTTTTAGTGCAAAATATGGGGATACTGATAACGTTCGTGACCTAATGTGCAGAGGTGCACCATTTACTACAGACTGGGTATGTATTTTTATAATAAATTTTTATAATCAGCAATTACGTAATTCAATCGTAATAATATTGTTTTACAGTTAGGTACAAGTGCGTTGCATTTTGCTGCACAAAATAATCATACAGAAACTGCAGAAGTTTTACTCAGAGCAGGAATTTCAAGAGATGCAAGAACAAAAGTAGATAGAACACCTTTACATATGGCTGCATATGAAGGCCATCACCAGATGACACAATTACTTCTTAATTATGGTGCAGATGTTGATAGTAGAGATATGGTAATTAAAATAAAATTATATAATAATTTGTTAAATAATAGTTTTATATAAATACGTTATGTATATCACACGTTTAATATAAAAAACATTTACAGTTAAAAATGACACCCTTGCATTGGGCAGTAGAAAGGGAACATGTAGAAGTAATGCATGTTTTATTAGAACATGGAGCAGATGCAAATGCAACTAGTAAATTCGATAAAACACCAATTAGTCTTGCATTAGAACATGATAGACTAGACTTGGTAGATATATTACAACAAGAAAGAGAAATTGTAGGTATTAAAGCACACCAACAAAATCAAGCAAACTCGGCAGAACTTGAAGTAGCAACTCATAATTTAATACAATTAGAATCTGAAAGAGAAGAAGAACAAAAATTTGAACTTGCACAACAAGAATCGCAATCAAGGAAGAAAATTACACAAGGTATATTACTTGATAACAATTCTAAATGTTAAAAATAATTAATAGTACAATTAGTTTTTATTAAATATTTAGTACAAATGGGGAAAAAACCACGAATGATTTTTCAACAAATTCATGTTGGATCGAATGTTGATGTTAATCGGGAAAAGGAAATTGAAAGTGTGGATGAAATCACTGATGCAGATAATATTAATAACAGCAAAAAACGCAAAGATGTTACAACTATTGGAGGAATAAACAAACAATTTAGGTTATTAGAAGCACATGGAATCACAATGATTCCTGTAGATAATGATTCATCTATTGTTGAAAATGCAATGGAAAGCGGAAGAACAGTTGTTTTAACTGGTATAAAACAGTTTAATGAGATGCACATTTTGCTATATTTATATTTATAGACCTCGATAATTCATTCTTGCAGAAGCAGGTAAACTTGCTCTCAATTTAACAAGAAATTCTTCAATAGGAATGAAACGACTTCATGTAACTGGAAAAAAAGGGACTTCTAGGAAAGTAATAGCAATTAGAGCAGATCAAATTTTAAGTCACAACACGCCTACTCTTGCATCTAAAGGACCTAATATATTAAAAAGATCTGTGGATAATAAAACTGGAAAATTATTCATTTCTTCAATTTCTAGTACCACGCCTGTATCAACGCTTACACAATCTAAAACTGTAATATCTCCTTCAGAGGTATGAAATCAAATATTAAATAAAAATAATCGAGATAATGCATGTACGTAATTTTTAATATATTTATATTTTGTGATTTTAACAGAGTAAGATCATTAATTCGCCCACAAAAATAACAGAACCAATAATTTTACAATTAGACGATGATATAGAAGAAATTATCGAAGATGATGCGTCGCATAATAATGAACAAGTTATGGACATTGCGCTACTAAATAAACAATTAGCGGAAGCACGAAGACAAGCAGCTGAGTATCGCAAACGACTTCAAAAAAAAGAGGAAGAAGCTGAAATATATAAACAACAACTTAAAAATATTACAGCGCAAAGGGCATCCAAGTGATTTTATACGAGCATATATTTTATTTTAAGTTTTGTTTTTTGAACAATGTTTTCTACAAAAAAAGAATCTTTCTCAGCTTTTCAGCTTTGTACAAGAGCTCGATTGAAAACTGTATTCTTGTATTTTAATATATTTTCTTTCGTTGTTTCATCTTAAAACATTATAATAGTATTTGTGCGAGCTTTTCTTTACTAACTACTTATTTTTGTACAGATTATTTTACGAATCTATAATATTCTTTAGCTGTCTATTATTAATACTCTTGAGTTATATCAGAAAATTGAGTTATTCGTTTCACAGAACATAATTATTTAATACGGTATGAGTTTTAAAAACTGCGTATTATATGTGTATGTATGTGCACGTACATACGTAAGTTTGTTGAATGTGTGATTAAGTCTGATTTATGCAGTACACAAATATTTTTTAAAAATAAATGTAGATATATACGAACCATCAATTTGCTTTCCACATAATATCTTGCAATAAATTATAATCTCTTATGTAGTATCACTACTTTCAAAATATTTTTTTACGTTAAACTAAATATCACACTAATAAAATAAGCACATTATTTACTATTTTAGTTACCCTTCTTAAATTACAGTATTTCCCTCATTCTCAAAATTATATTTTCCTATTTAGCACGTACTTCTAGGCAATGTTAAAGAAAGAAAATTGTATAAAAAATAAATACTAATGTAGGAAAACATGTTTTTAAATTGTATATGATCTATTTTGTATATAGTAAATTTTTATATATATTTTAAGATTACATAATAATTATAATTATAATTATAATGTCGTTAAATAGTTAGAATTATATGAAAAATGG